ATTTATTAAAAATTATTTCAAAGAATATTTTTAAATGTTAAATATGCTTTTAATTTCTTTCGTTTTAATTTATTAATCAGTTTTTTAAATTTTAAAGATAGTTAATTAATAATGCAAAAAAATATTTAAATATTGAAAAATTAAAATATATTCAGTATTTATTAAAGTGTTATTAATATTTTGTAAAGAGAATATATAATTATTAATTATGAAAAAAAATGATATTTGGCAAGACAAGCGGCGGAATGAGTGCACATGCATCGGTATTTATTATCCAATATTTGAGAATTTTGCACTTCTTGCAAGGACTTCGGTAACAGCACAATTTTTTTTTTTTTTTTTTTATTACAAAACAATCTTACTTCTTACATGAATAAAAAAAAGTAATGACTTATGGAGCTCAATGGAACACACGTGTTTTATAATTGACAAAAAGTATTTTGCTGGTATATTAGGGAGAGCAAGAAGATAAAGACAAAAAAAAGAAGGAAAAGACCTTTTTTCAAATGAAATAAGAGGTTGTTTGGATGGGCTTCTCCTCCCTTAGAAGTTGCTTTTTTTTTAAAAAAAATAAGTGATTTTAGAAAAAAAACTTATGTTTGGATGTGTGCTTTCAATAAAAGCAGAAGCCAACAAAAAAGGAGAAATCTTACTTTTCTGAAAAGTTAAAATCTTTAACTTTTAAATGAAGGAGAAGCCAAAAGTTAAAAATTGACCTATCTCTCCCTTCGAGTATTCCGTCTCAGCCAAAGCAGCAAACCTCCGAGGTTGAGGATGGAAAAGGAGAGAGAGATTTGAAATGGCTTCGATCGATGAATGAATTGAGTAAAGCGAAGAGAGGTATACCTGTTGGATATATGCTCTTTTGGTCACTAAAGTCCTATTGGGCTTCAGTGACACTTGAGCCCATGAGGCTTAGGGTTGAGTTATGTCTAAGACCTAAGATATATATTCATAGTTTTCTCCTCTTGTGCCTCCAAGGTGAACAGATCATCAGAAACAAACCCAAGAAGCAGACGTTCATCATCTGAACGGTTGCCCACACAACCATCTCATCCTCCTCGAGAGATAGTCTGGAAGATCGATCATAGAGGGAACAACTATTGTTAGTGGTCACACAACTACGCCCTTCCAGGTAATCAAAACGATGAAGGTTAATCTTTTCCCTCGTCGTGTCGGTTCGATGCGCTTCCGCGTTTCTGATGATATACCTACAATACCATGGTTGGATTTTGAGCGACACTCGAGGGAGTACGAAGGATGAAAACATGAAAAAGTGAAACATGAAAAAGAAATATAAATCAGAACCAGATTCAGGATATAAAAACGAAGCACGATAAACCTGGATAAAGAGTAAAGCAAAACAAGGATGAAAAGCCACAATGGAAAAGAGATGTAACATTAATTTTACATTGGAAAAGTGCTTTTTTATTTTAACATCCAAATGATTTTTTTTACTCAAAAGCACTTTTTAAATACTACATCCAAACATAAAATAATTTTAACTTTTAAATAAAGTTCTTTTGAAATAAGCAACTCATAATTTTTTTTTTCAAAAGCTCATCCAAACGGGCCCTTATTCTTAAAAGTGACAGAAACACGGAGAAACATTTTATTAATGACATTCTAGTAATTATAATCAAACAGATTTGTTTTCTTCTTTTTTCTACAAAAACAGCTTTTTATAAGTTGTTTTATAAAATAGTTTTTTTTAAAAAAAAAAAAAACAAAAACACATTCTTATGTTTAGCCATCGATAAAAACACATTCTTATCTTCCGCCGCTGATTACAAACCTAATATACAAATTGGCGTGACTTTGCTCTTTGAAGAGAGAGACAGAGAGAACAACAGAGCTCCTGAGTATTCATTTTTTTTTTGGTCATTTTGTCTTGTGTTGCTTGACATCTCAACCAGTTATATCAAGGGGATTGGCGAGAGAGGAGCTGCCCCCGGGGGACACCTGCTCTTCATGGGCGGTAGTGGAGGTTTTAGCACAATTTGGCCCAATGCTGTGATTTTAGCATGGCAATTGTAACACCCCGTTCTAGAACCGGTTTGTTAACATCGCATTATGATATTAAGCGCAGTTACAATCACATTGGCTCAATTAATAATCCGGATAAATTTTTCTTTTTAAAACGACGCCGAATTTAAAATATCCAATTGCGTGATTATAACCATATTACTTTGCGGAATCAGATAAATCAAGCTTAACATCATGTTCTTATTCCATTTTTAAACCATTAATTTACTTCTTATTTATTTCACAACTTCTACTATATTGTAGATCTCTTCGTTAGCTACGCGTGGTTTCAAACCGCTCCTCATTTGGAGCTCTACAGCTCGAGTTATGACAATTTTGAGCAACAAAAGTGTATGTGGGACACAGGACCCGCGCGCTTCAGCGCGCTACAGGGCGCTCAAGCGCGCGTTATCGGGCGCTAAAGCCTCCATCTGGGCGCTTACGCGCACGGAGGCAGGAAGCATCAGGTCTTTCAGTATAAATGGGCGCTTAAGCGCGCTATCCTGGGCGCTTAAGCCCCCAATTGGGACGTTTTAGCGCGCAGAGGCAGAAGCATCTCCTCCTTCAGCGGCTAAGGGCGCTCAAGCGCTCAACCCTGGGCGCTTAAGCCCCCACTCTGGGCGCTCCAGCGCGAGGAGGCCGACAACATTGGCTCTCACAGGGGCAGCAGGGCGCTAAAGCGCGCTGCCAGGGAATTCCGTTACCCTCATTTTTCAAGTCCAAGTCTAGGGGAAAATGCATCCCCATTCCAAACCCCAATTGTTCATGCCCCAAAACTTAATCCTAGCACTCATCCAACCTCTCCTCATGAGATTTAGCTAGAATTTGGGCAGCATAACCTTTGTTTTCTCAACGTTTCCCAATTTAAACAAAAGGTACCTAATTGATTCTCAGCCCAACCAATTCAATAACTCAATACATAACAAGCATGCATATATTGAATTTCAAGCAAGCATCATTTACAGTACATATTCATTACAAATCAAGGAACTTAGCTTACAAAACACTATGATCATTCCCTTGGCTCCCATCAACAAAAGAGATGACCAAAGGCATGAGCATAGGCTAAGTCCATTCCAATATACAAATCATAAATCTATCATTGCCTATTAATTACAATTCTATACATGTGAGCTACAAAACAACATGTATAATCTCAAAAAATGCAACACTTCATGCATATGCTAATCCAGATATGGCCACTTGCCACCAAAGGCTCCTGCAACATCCTTACCTGAAAGGGGGTCCCCACAACACGGGGTGAGATATACGAATATATCCAGTAAACCAGGGGTCCTTGGAGCATCTCTCCACCCCATAGTTAATAACAATAATAATGCAGTAAATACATATCTATGCAAAGTGCAATAACATCTCCAGGAGAAATCCCTCGAGCTCTCAAGCTGTCCTAAGGAAACTCAGATGCAAATAGTCCTACTGGCCAGCTAACTACCAAGTATGATTTACGCATCGTCATGCAACATACCAACATAGGGAAACACCATCCTATGCCACACCAAATGCATACACATACGTATAACAAAGCATTACACTATTTTATTGCATTTATATACACAATCACAACCTCTACCCTTTCAGGGCTTGGTGGAACAGTCAAGGGAATTACACCCAAGGTCCGAAGGCTTACCTCAAGCTTCAATTCGACCTTTGTTCACCACCCATGGATTCTACAGCCCGTTAATTACAATACTCCACTTCTCAAACAAAACCTACACAAGGTTTAATGCAATTAACACATATTGCATCCAATAACATCTCATAGCTATCAACCAAGCTATACAATTCATACCAAACATAAGCATGAACTCACCTATCCAATGGAGCTAATCAAGCTCCATAGCTTGCTCCAATGGTTGATCACTTACGGTTGGTCCAAATGTCTCAATCCTAGACATCACGAGGACACAATCATCAATCAACCAAGCCAAACCATTGATCATAATTGCAAGAAAACTCTTCAACAAGCATTATAATCTTGCAATATACCAAGTATAGTCATTTAACTAACTAGGCTCATTTTTACCGATTAAATGACATTCCTAGCATTTTTCACAACATGCTCTAAGCTCCATTCTTCCTAGAACATAGCTAATTTAACAACATTTCATCAAAAACCCTAAAACACTATTCATAAACCCTAACTCATGCAATTTCAAGGAATCATGATGTTCAAGGGGTAGAATCTTACCACCAACGGTTGCACAACCAAGCAAGGAGCGTTCCTCAAGCTCCCATGGAGGTAGAAATTCCCAAAACCCCAAAATCTCACAAAGGGCCGAATTTTTGAGAGGCAATATCTCTCTACACAAAGCTCCCCACTAAGAACTAAGCTAGGATTATGAAAGAGGGGAAGATTTAGAGTAGTTTAAGCTTTTGAATCACCTAAAACGGTTGGGATTTGCTCCTTCCTCTCTCTCTTCTTCTGTCTCCCTTTCTTCTCCTTCTCCTTCTTCTTCTTTTCTTCTCCGATTGCTCGACGGTTTAGGGGTGAGAAATGGGTCTTCTTTCTTGTTTTATCACTTAACATTAGTTAAGTGGTAACATGTGGGTATTAGTTCATCTATCTATCCAACTCCATTAATTACCAAACTTTACCCAAAAGTCTGGAATATTATCCTAGGAATATTTATAATTTTATTTTTATATTTTGGGCACTTTCGCCAATACCCATTTATACCCCTTAATTTTCACTGAGTACTCTTTTTAACTTCAAAGTGACTCAGATTCATTTAATTAAGCCTTATACTTAATTTTACTCACTAAAACATGCTTAATTATTTAATTACATGCAATTTGCTAATTAATTAGGTTAAGGCTATTATAGCAATAAACACAACATTGGGCCAAATTGTGCTAAAACCTCCACTACCGCACACGAAGAGCAGGTGTCCCCTTGATATAATTGGTTGGATATAATTGGTTGGGATGCCAAGCAACACAAAACAAATGACCATGGTATGGAAAAAAAAATATGGATACTCACTCTCTCTCTCTCTCCAAAGAGCAAAGTTACATCAATTTGTATATTAGGTTTGTAATCAGCACAAAAAACCTGGCGATTTATCTCTCATAATAAATATGTACTTTAGTTATTTCATGAATATGTGTGATGATGCCAAATAACTTCGTTGAGAAAATTGCGGAAAAGGAATTATTGGTAAACTTTTTCCAATTTAGGAACAATTAACCATGAGCTGTTTTTTTTATATATATATTTAAATTAAAAATACTTTAACATTGAATTTCTTTCATGTGATTTTGTTCCCTATTTTGTTTCTCTTTTTATGTTTCTCTTTCTGATATAATTTATTAAAATCATGCTACATTTGTTTTCAGGCTTGAGGAGCTCCAAGTTTTGGATATCAAATTTCTTTATGGGTTGTTCAAAGCCAACTATTGTGGTTCTTTACCAGGTTTCTAATTCTATTCTACCTATTGTTTTGGAGCTTTTAGTTGATTAATTCTTTAAATAGACTCTGTGAGCTGCTATCTTGTTTTGCTGATTTTCTTTCCTTCACTCTTTTATTTTGGTTTGGAAGGGTGGACCGAGGGAATTTACAACACCTCTTGCTCTTGCTTGATTTTCTGCATTTATCTTCAAATGTGATAAAAGAGTATGGGCCCTTCACTCCTGTGGGAGATTTCTTGTAAATCCTTCCATTTCCGTTCCAAACAGGGAGAAATTCTTTCTTAGTAGTTTCTATTTGGATATCTGGTTAAGTATGTTCTCTGAACAACAGTTCTGATCATTTCCTCTCCCCTTCTTCAGATGGCCTGAAATTCCTTGGTGCTAAATCTATTTAGAAATCTAAAGCTCTTTATACAGAGGCTAAAATTTTGTTGCAGCATGCCGTTAAAACGGTCCTTCGGTGTGTGTAGTTTGATCAGATTGCTCAAATCCTTACGGCTGTCTCTTTGCCCAATTTTTTTTTTATTTGAGGGAACTATGTTTAAGTGTTCATATTTTTGTACCGATGGAGACCTGGCTACATTTGGTCTAAAGATTATTTTCCTACAGTAAGCATGTGATTAGTATAAGACCGTATGCTTTCTCTGGTTTTTCAAAGAATTCCCTCCAATTTCTAATTTAACATATATTGTTGTAGTTTCAGTTTATGTCTGTGCATATTCATATTCTTCCATAACATCTCTATTCAATGTTTCTATGATTCTGCCATCTATGAAAATATCTGCCCCCCAATGACCCCCCCCCCCCAAACAACACAGATATATATATATATATATATATATATATATATATATATATATATATATATATATATATATATATATATATATATATATATATATATATATATATATATAAACGAAAAATCTAAAATTCAGTCACTGGACTGTCCAGTGAGTGAATTTTGACTATATTCTCTCGCGAGAATATAGTGCAAAAATATTACAATGGTGTTCTGCAGGTGTTCTCCCGGGAGAACATAGGCAAAATTTTTTGTGCACTATATTCTCGCGGGAGAATATAGTGCACTGGACCTAATTTACATCAAGTCACTTGATACTCACTAAATCCATATATATATTTCGTTTATGTTATTTGGTTAAAAACATAGCTGCTTTTAGCATACAATCTTGAATATTGTTTTTTCATCAATGACAGGATAACAAAGATGCTCGTCATGTTAAAACATATGAGGTTGCTCTGAAGGATAAAGATTTTGTTGAGGGTCCATGGTCCCAGAACAATCTTGATAATGGGGCTGATTTATTGATACCAGTTCCCCCACCTCTTTGTGGTGTGCTTATTATTGGAGAAGAAACCATAGTATACTGCAGTGCTAGTGCTTTTAAAGCTATCCCAATCAGACCTGTATGCTAAATAATAGTATCTGCTACATCCATTTAAATCATCTGCAGTGAATTTATATTTTCACAAATTGTATGTATATGACACAGGTTTTTGGTTTTGGACTTCTCTTAATTATACCTTATGATATGCTTTTCAGTCAAGTACAAAAGCCTATGGAAGAGTTGATCCTGATGGTTCTAGATATTTACTTGGTGACTATACAGGGTTGCTTAGTCTACTTGTAATAAGCCATGAGAAAGAAAAGTACGCGATCACTCATTCACTTGTTTCCATGTTGGCTTAATAGATTTATTACTCTGTCTGTGCATGCCGTTGAATGTTTACTCATGCTTCTCCATTGATTTCATTTTAAAATATATTAGACAAGCATAAGTCAAACATTTACAATTGAATCCTGAAAAATGTAACATATCATGGATAAATTTTAATATTCCCTTACGAGGCGTTTGGTTGAGGAGAAAATTTTATGAATAACAGGAAAATGTGATTAATTGAGAAATGGTTGGAATGTGAGTTTGATAGGAAAATGTAAAAAAAGCTGTTTGGTTGGATAAAATTTTGATGGGGAAATTAGGTAACTTTTATAAAGTCTATGTTTGAGGGTAAGTAAAATATAGATGGAAAAAAAAGTTGTTTTTACGAAAATAACCCCGTTTTATTTATTTTTTATTTTTTTTATTTTTTTAATCTATGTGTTTTTTACATTTAAATCAACCCCATTGTTTTAAAGACTCGCCGTCGTTGACAGCCGCGTTCATCCATAAGGTTAGAGGTGGAGAAAATTGAGAGCAAGGTTCTTCCACAAGTGCACTTTCTCTTGCTTCTTCCTTCTTCCTTCTTCATTCTTTCCTTTCTCTCTCACTCTTCCATCAATAACAAGTTAAATCATCTCAAAGCAAAGCACTTTCTTCCACAACCTCACCTTTTTTCTCTCACAACAAGCAAAACATCTTACGAAACACTTGGGCTGCACTCATTTCTAACTTTTTTTTTCCTTCATTTTTTTCCTGGAGAGTCTTGTTTATTCTGATATTGTAAAAAGTGTCAAATATTGTGGCTTTAGACAAGGAAATTAAAATGGTTCACTATCACCGATTCACCGCTACCATCAACCCAGAAAGGCTTCAGAGTTTATCAAAGATGAAGAGTCACGGAATCTTGTGTTGGTCTGGAAGAAGGGTATAATGGTCTGGAAGAAAGTTGTTTAGCCTGCTTTCCAAATAAAACCACCTACCTTTTGTCTTTCTAAACAGTGCCGAAAGCTATGTAAATTGAAAAAGCAATGCAAATTGGATGGACGGGGATTTTGAGTGAATCTGTTGAACCAAACAAGTGCAAACTGAAATGCTTGCTTCATTTGCATAGGAAAGTTTCCAAAAACCATAAACCAAACACCACCTTAAGGTTGTGTTTGGTAGCAGATATCTTGAAATATTGCTAGGCATCTGAGAGTGGGTAGGTAGCCTGTCCATGTTTGGTACAGGTTATCAAAAAATTTGCCTAGCTAACCGATTTGCCCAGCATTGAACTTTATATGCAAAATTGGACCAAAAAAATGGTGCTCAAATCCTACTTCGACGGTGGTATTTCACAGATAACCACTTAAGTGATAAAAATTGGACATGGTAGCTGCCAAAATTACCCTTTGTAACCTACTAGCGCCAAAAGTGAGTGAATAACCATTTAGCTAGTTGACTTTAGGCAACAGTAGTTCTCATTAAAATATTGTAAAGGGTTATTTTATAATTTCAACTTGGTTTTCCATCAATATTTTTATCTTCAACCAAACATAGATTCAGGAAATTTCACCCAATTTTTTAGGTAATATTTTGCCCAATCAAACAACTTTTTTTAAACTTTCCTACCTAACTCCTTTTCCCTGCAGATCTCTGATAATTACATTTTCTTGGTAAAAAAAAAATTTCACCTGTACCAAACATAAAAAAAAATTCACCTGTACCAAACATCCCCTAAGGGTCTGTTTCGTGTGACGTATAAGGCTAATAGTATAAGCTTATACTATACGTTATGACATTTTTAGTTGTTTGGTGTGACCATCGTATAGTATAAGTTTATACATCAGAATCCCTTAATACATTAAAATGATGTATAACTTAATCCGGCCTAAAGGGGATGGATTAGGCCTGATAAGGGATTAATGTATTAACATCGTTGACCAGTGTAATTCTTAAAAATTAATATATTATTTTAATATTAATATATTAAAATAAAAATTAATTTTTCAATAATATTAAATTTTAAAATATTGATTATTGTAACGCCTGGCAACTTGCAAGGATCAACGACTATCCCCACACTCTAACACAAGACTTTTCAGCGTGCTTTGTCCTCACTTGCACAGTTCCCGGAAAAACCTTCCAGGAGGTCACCCATCCCAGAATTGCTCCAAGTCAAGCACGCTTAACTATGGAGTTTTTTCGTTCTAGGCTACCGAAAAGTAGATGCATCTGGTTAGTATAGGTAGTACCAATTAATTCTTATAAGTCATTCCCAACTGCACCGTCCCATACCAGAACAGTCTCTGGAATCCCTCTCTTTCGGGTGTTGATTCGATTCATTCATATACCCCCGTCCCTAGAAGCCTGCCAGGAGCGCTCCTTGTTTGTGCCCTTTCGCACCATGCCCTTTCGCACCGGCGATCACTCCCCGCCCTCGTCAGCGCCCGAGATGTTACATGCCCACCAGCTTCCGCCTGGTTCGTCCTCGAACCACACCGTACTGGAAGAGAGGCCCTGCTCTGATACCACTTGTAACGCCTGGCAACTTGCAAGGATCAACGACTGTCCCCACACACTAACACGAGACTTTTCAGTGTGCTTTGTCCTCACTCGCACACCTCTCAGAAAAACACTTCCCAGAAGGTTACCCATCCCAGAATTGCTCCAAGTCAAGCACGCTTAACAATGGAGTTCTTCCGTTCCAGGCTACCAAAAAGCAGATGCATCTTGTTAGTATAGGTAGTACCAATTAATTCGTATAAGTCATTCCCAACTGCACCGTCCCATACCAACACAGTCTCTGGAATCCCTCTCTTTCGGGTGTTGATTCGATTCATTCATGTACCCCCGTCCCTAGAAGCCTGTCAGGAGCCGCTCATTTTTTGTGCCTTTTCGCACCATGCCCTTTCGCACCGGCGATAACTCCCTGCCCTCGTCAGCGCCCGAGATGTTACAATTATTTTTATTTTTATAAAATTTAATTTATTTTTTGGACACACTGATGAATAGATTTTTATAAAAATTAATATCATATGATATTTTTTGAAGAATTATATAAATTCTTTATTAAAAGATATTTTTATCCTATATAATATTATACAGTGTATTACCAAATACTAGATGATATTATCTTATACAATATATTATGTTATACAATACCATGCCAAACGCTGGATAGTATTAAAATTCAATCAGGTCTTATACAATCAGATCTTATACTATCAGATCTTATACTATGCACCAAACATGCCCTAAATGAAGAGGAGTGTTCTTGGGTTCTACTTTACTAGATGGACAGATGAAAGGGCCTCTATACCTGATGCATTTTACCATGTCCATATATGATATCATATTGAAGAAGATTTTTTTCATCCTGATAATTTTAAGTTAACAACCTTTCCAGAAGTTTAGCTTAAAACATACGATGCCGAATGTGGTTAAGCTGTGATAGCCAGATTGAAAGAGGACAACAAACAAAAAAAAATGAAATTAATAGGCTAAAGTTAGGATCTGGAAATCAGATGAATGGGAGATTCATTAGTATGTTAGGCTTTCACAATTTGCAAGCAATGAGATGATGATTGAGGACCAAATTTTTGACTGTTTGTATGCTGTGAAAGGAACCTTCAAATTTAGAATTAGACGCTTGATGGGCTTTTGTGGTAGAATGAAGCAAAAGAATTCTAAGTTTTAAACAAAATGATTTCCATGATGTGTAACCAGCAAAGCAATTCTATCTGGTAGTGATTAACACAAAAAATATTAAGCTAAATAGAAGGAAAAGAAATACCATGGTTCTCACCTGGGGCTTCTTAGGTTGATGCCTCAGAAATTGTATATCACAATGAAAATTATACTAGATTTGGGGCTTATCAAACTCTTTATTGCAAGGATTCTGCCTGAAAGAAAGCATTAAAACTTTTGTGATGGTATTCTTACTCTTATGAGCATTAAGTTTTTTTATTTTTTCCCCTCATAACAAATCTATAGTAATTAAAAATCTAGAAAGACTTTTCACAGGGTAGACTCCATATGCATCACGGTTTCAACTGAACAGGGATCCACCTTTAACTCTTGAATTTTAGTCTAACTGCAACTACTGACCAATATCTAAGAAATTTGCTAAAATACTGCTGAAATAAAATAAAGAAATAGAAAACTAAAATTCAACTGAGCCAGCAGCTACTGACACTAATAACATTAACATTAACAGGACCAAGAATTAGCTTATCAATGACTTGAAAAGGGAGCTTACGAGAAAACTAGTCCACAACATAGTTCTAATATATTTTTTGCTCCATAATGTTTTTGTTTGCTTTATCCTCTTGCATCTTCTGTGAACTTGTTAGGCAAAAGCAGCTGCTTTTGGAGGTATAATTGATGTTATTAGCAGAACATTAGTACACTATTTATTTGCACAACTGTAAATTTTAATACCTGAACTATATTTCTTGATTGCTGATTTGCACATTTCCTGGGACCTCGGGTATGGTTCCATAATACACAGGTATTTAGATGCTGCATCTTTTCTGCTGAGATTGGGCTTAGCAGCTGACAAATGTAATGCTACTAATAGCCAGTGCAAGGTTTGGAATTATTTTAATTTTGCATACTGTATTTTAAGTCAACTCCTAAGGCTTTGTTTGGGAGTTGTTATTTGGAGGGGAAGGGAAGGAAAGGAGAGATTTTGGTGATACTCTCCCCTGTTTGGGAGTTTAAAAAAGGGAGGGGGGGGGGGGGAATTAAAGATTTTCATAAATCCTCCAAAACCCTCATCTTTATTAAAATTGAAGTTCCCCCAACTTGGGGGGTTTTAAGAGGTAAAACATTTTAAATTACTTAATTACCCTCATTCAAATCAGAGCAATCTCTCTCTCGTGCACGCTGGTTCGTGGACATCAAACCTCAAAAAATTTCTTTTTTTTTTTTTTTATTCTTTCTCGGTAACCAAACACTAATTTGGGTTTTGCTTCTTTGATTTTGTGTTATTCTAATGCATATTTTTTTAAAAATTTTGTCTGCACAAATAAATGTTGAGCTCATT